CTTCTAAGTGTTGTCTTCAAATTATGTTTATATACCAAGTAGTTCCACTCACTGATGCTTTTAGATCGACGAACACACCCACAAGACTTGTTCTTTCTTTGTGAAATCAAGCCGCGAGTACTATAATCACGATCAGTAGTACAATGCCAAATATCACCAAGAGCAAGCATGTCTGCGTGTAAACAAGAACAAGACATTAGAGTGTAGCCTAAACCCATCTCTAAGATTTCTAAAAACCATTTATTCACTGCTTTGTCTGGGAAGTTTTTGAGTGTTTTACCAGAGATGAGTTTGATCTCTGCGTTTTTGCCGCTTGCGCCAGCTGGGATTTTCCTTGTGAAGTTGCAGCACGGGAGTTATCGATGTGAGTACCGATATCATCTGTGACAAAAAAGAAGTTATTTCTCTCTAACTCTTTGTGGACATGTTCGTTATTGAGTTATATAGATTTCTTTACCTATCATGACTCCTTGATCGTTAACCAGAACCGCAAGATCTTTGAATATTTCGTTCACTTCACCAATTTGATTATGGATTTCTTGTATTCCTTGCTCTCTTTCCTCGATCACAGCCTCGTTGAATGCAACCTCATTGTCTAACAATACAAGTTCCTGTCTGCAACAATCAAACAAGGTGGAAGATAAGTCACACACAAAACAAAAGGAGTCAAGTGTAGAAGAATGTGTGTTTCAGTATCCACCAACCTCTTTGACTCCACAAGTTGTGCCCGCTGTTCCGGAGCCTTATCTATCTCATTCGCTGTATAGCTATATACCGAGCCAGCCAAGACAAATAAGGTACATGATTATCAAAACCAGTTAAAACATTTCACATTTGCAATTCCAAATTTTGATTCAGAACTTGAGACTAATATACACAAAAACCACAGAAAAACCATTGTGTTACCTAGACGGAATAGCGGATTGAGGAACGAAAGGAGTATAAGCGGTTTCTCTTTCAGCTGCGGTTTGTTGAGCTTTCTGAAACTCTTTCAATACAGCTTGAAAATCCTTTGCAAGCTTAGCATCTGCAATCTTCTTACTTGGCTACACAAAACCAACAATCAAAGAACTAATCATCATCATCATCAAACTCAAAAAAACCAAACAAGAAGAGAAAGATTTTTCTATACATTGACATCGCTTTGATGATCAGTTTCACTAGCTTGTTTAAGTTTAGCAGAAGTATCCTTCACAAGCTGCCCAATATGCAATCGTGTCTTGTGCCTACAAAATTTCCAGAATTGAATCCAATTTCACAAAGCAATCAATCGAAATCGAGAAAATGATTTTGACAAATCGAATCAAACGTACAGCTTTTCGCGGAGCTCCGGTGTATCTTTGGGAGTACCGAGAGTGTTAACGAGTCGTTGAAAAGTGGAAACTCCGGTATTGATCTGGAAAATTCCGGAAGCGACGGCTTGCGTCGAATCTTGTTGTCGACCACCATTGATCTTCCTCGATCTTCCTTTTCCAGCTTCTAAATCTTGAAAACTCATCTTCTTCTTCGTGGAA